CAAATCTAGGATTACTTCTCCAGATCTTTTTTCTTGGGTTCTAGGGATTATATCTGGGATATTTTGCTAGTTTCTTTGATGTTTTGATTGAGTATTCAACTCATGGTTTAAAAAGTATACGTCAAAGGATTATTTGTTTGTTCAATACAAAAGAGAGTTGTTCTTCGGTGGATTCTGAAGAATTCGAGTCTGAAGCTTTGGTGGATTCCGAAGTGGCTCATCGTCAAGACAATTCCGAGGTGAAGACGGGTTGGAAGAGGCACATAGAGGTTGGTTCAATTCGGGCGTGAATTCGCTAGGTAATGAGAGTATACCTGTGTAATCCTTTATATCTCTTAGTGGATGATTGTGTTTGTGGTTGTTGCCCGTGGTTTTTTTATTCACAATTGGAGGTGTCCAATTGTGGTTTTTCCACGTAAAATCGTTGTGTCGATTTGTCTTGATTGTTTGATTGGGATTGTTGTTTACTCTTAAATTGATACATAATTACAAATCAACATCTAGGGGATTTCTAGACTTTCAGTTGTACTTGTAGTGGGGTTTTGTTAACTCTATTTCAGCACTAGGAGGATCTAATTTGTAGCTAGAACAGAGATATCATTCTATACTCTCACTCTCTCTCCTTTGTATATATAGATACGTGTGCTTATGTATGTGTTTTTTCTTCTATGTTCATACTATTATTTTTTTAATTGGGTATATTCATATCACTACTTTTACAATTAAATATATATATATATATATATATATATTATTTAACTGCATGATTAAAAAAATAATAAACTATTTTATTAAACTATTTAAAATAATAAACTATCCATTAATTGCCATTGATGTGTCATGAATTTCATTAAATGTGTGAGTTTTTGGCAATGCATCCCATTTTCAATAATGGTATTAAAAAAAAAAAGGTCCAATTAGTACACAATGCCCAATTAGTACATATTAATGAATGTTTGGAATGGAAAGATTAAGCACACATCTAACGACATTAATGTATGTTTGGAATGG